CCCCAGGACCCAAAGAAAACCAGATACAGTGATGGCTACTGAAACCCAACCCAGAAACTCTTGGGTCAGCTAGCTTAGAGTACACAGCACATCAGGAGAAAAAGAGAAAAAAGAGACCCTGTCTTAAAAAGGAAGAAGCAAAAAACTAATTCCAGAAAGTTGTTCTCTAACCTCCAGGTGTGCCATGTACAATGTGCCTGAATATGCACGAATGTGCACACATACACTCAAACTAATTAACAAAAAACTTACAGAAGTATAAGTTTTTTCTTATTAAGTTAGTGAAAATGGGGGTGCAATCAGTGGCAGTGGTAGAACACTGTGTCACATGCCACAGATAAAAATGTCAGCACCAGACAGTCTCCCCAGTACCTGTGCCAGTAGTGCTAACTATCTAGGAGACTAAGGAAAGAGGATATTTTGAACCCAGGAGTTCAAGACCAACCTGGGAAACACAGTAAGATCCAATTTCACTATTAATTAATTTAAAATTTTTAACCAGCTACCATGAAGATATGGATTCAATGACCAACACTGCCAAAATAAATAAAAATTTGACGTGTATGTACATGCACACCAGCACAAGGGTTTCAACTTTTAGAAGATGCACTAAAGAGCAATTCAAAATCTCGTGCCTTCACAAATACAAATACAGAAGATAGTCATGTGTTCCCACAGAATGAAGAATGCCTCCACTTAATACCTAAGCTGTGGATGACGTTCCCTTTAACACAGTTCTCAGGAACCATGATATTCCAACACTTACCTTCCAGTGTTGCAACTAAAGGCATGCACCACCATTCCTGACTTAAAAACAGTAATTCTTGAGCTGGTGAAGCTCTAGAACAAGTCAGGCAAGATGGTACCTACCTGTAATCCCAGTACTTTGGGAGGCTGAGGCAGGAAGACTACCCCAGGTTTCAGGTCAGTCTACTATGCAGTGAATTCCAGGCCAGCCTTGAGTATAAAGTGAGACTTTGACATAAAGGCTTCAAGATAAGATTAAGATTTTAAGATATAAGCAAAACTAAAACACACAGAAGATGAAAGCATAGACATTAAGAGACTAGTAGACCCAATATATACAAGTCACATTAGATACTAGGGTCCAATACTGGAAAACAGACTGGCAAGATGAAAGTAACCCAGGTTATGATATTCATAACAGACCTGAAATGGATTACTTCTAATTCAGTTAAAACATCTAACTACGGAGTTAGAGATGGTTCTGTGGGAAAAGTGCTTGCCATGATCTCTGGGATCCATATGGGAGGAGAGAACCTACTTAAGCTGTTCCCTAACATACATGCATGCAAGCAGGAATGCAGGCACACAGCAAATAAATAAATAAATAAAATTTAAAGGAAAAAAAAAAAGTCTAACAAGATGATCCTGTGGGTAAAGGCACCAAGGCCAAGCCTGACAACTTGAGTCTGATCCCCATGACCCACACTGTAGAGAACCAACTCCCACAAGTTGTCCTCTGATTTCCATATCCGATGTATGTACCCCCCCACAAACTATAAACAGATAAATGTACTTTAAAAAAAAAAACAAACGTTTAAGATATCTAAAGATGGACCCAGGTAGGAGCAGCAATGTGTGCTTGTAATACCAGCACTCAGAAGGCAAGGTAGGAGCTACAGGGCAAGATCCAATCACAAAACCACAACACTGCTCCCTACCCAAATGAAGTACTTCTATACAAATGTAACTGAAAATCCTTATTCTCAAGAAGACCAAAGCAATATTCAGGAAAGTCATATTCTTAATTTTGTTCAAGAAGAAAGTACACAAAGTCAGGTGTGGTAGCTAACTCTGACAATCCCAACAAAGAACTTGACTGGCTGAACCAAACACAAAGGAAAAATAATATAATAATACAACAAATCCAGTTTACAAAGCACAATTTTTTACAAATTACAATTTTATGTCCGGATACAGAGAACAATTTACCTTATATCTTAGCATCAACATGCCCTATCCTCAACCTAGCCAGTGTCCACTACCTATACTGGAGCACCAAGGAGTATGGAGCCACCTGTAAAAGCTTTGCATGGGCCGAAATAGCATTTCAACTTTTGAACAACAACAATAACAAAAGTTTAAGAGATCATGTTTAAGTTTTAGTGAATGGTTATATGTTCAATATGTTAAGAGTCCTAAATTCAAATAATAAAAGTTGACAAGTGAAACTAAAATTTACAATATGTGAGCCTAGAATTCCTACAGTGAAAGTATGATACCAAGAAGCATTACCATTTTATTAGAGTAACAGGCTTTCTTCTACAACTACTACTCACAGCAAAGACTTAGAACAATGAAAAAGCCTGTTAAAATTACCTAAATGTACTATTACTATGGTCTATTCTAATCAAATACTGTTAACTGGAGAAAGTTCCAAAATCCAGCATAATACCTGTACATTGTTGAATATGATAATAAGAAATAAGCTATTCCTGAAAATAACTCAACCCTTAATCTTTGTTTTGTTTTTCGAGACAAGGTTTCTCTGTGTAACAGCTCTGGCTGTCCTGAAACTCGTTTTGTAGAACCTGATTGGCCTTGAACTCACAGAGACACCCCGAGGACACTTAATCTTTAAAAGTTTTTTTATTAGCTATTTTCAAAAGGTCAGCAATGTAAATACACTTAACACTACTAAACTACACCCTTAAAACGGCCAAGTGAAGCCACCCAAGCAGTCAAGAGGACAGAGGCCAGGGCTACATTACATAGGCCCTGTTCAAAAGAACAAACAGCAAAGCAAGAAGTTAAAACAGAGGAAGCTTGGGATGCAGCTCTACTGTAGAGGATGGACATAGGATATATGAAGTCCTGGGATGGATACTCAGAACACAAAACAAAGAGGAAGACAGGAAAAGGAGAAAGACGTTATTATAGAAAAATTAGTTGTATGATTTATCACAACTGGACTAGAAAAGAGGCTGGGTGCGGTGGCAAAAGTGTGTAATTCCTACATTTAATAGGCTGAGGCTGCAGGGTCACACAGTTCAGGGCCAGCCTGGGCTAAAAGGAGGCCCTGGTCCATCCTCACCTCCAACCCAAGAATAAGAAAACAAACAAGTAACAAATAAAAGCTGTAATCTCAAAATTTAAGAAACAGAGGCAAGAGGATTGCTATAAAACCAAGGACAGAGTCTACATATCAAGTTTCAGACTAGCCATATAATGAAATCCTGTCTCAAAAGAAAAGAAAAAAAAACTGCAAATAAGCTCTAAATTTCCTTTCTATTTATGTATTTATGAGTTATTGTGGGTTCATTAAATGCATATTACAACGGAGCTGGAGATACAACACCAATAAAATCTAATTCATTTTTTCACAAAGACTGCAATGGGCATGGTACTATGCACCTATACTTTTAATACCTAGGAATCTGAGACAGGAGAACCATGGGATTTTGAGGCTACCCTGAGTAATATCTATCTCAACAAAACAAAATAAACAAAATACAAAACCCAGACCCCATAGGTCTTTTTTTTTTTAAAGAAAGTAAAAATTTAAAGAGAATTAAATTAAAAGTCAATAGAGTTCTTTTTAAATCCCAACACTGGGGAGGCAGAGACAGGTGGATCTCTGAGCTAAAGGTCAGCCTAGTCTACAGAGCAAGTTCCAGGACAGTCAAAAAAAGAAAAAGAAAAATAGAAAAAAAAAAGACTAAAAACAAGAACTTTTAAAAAATGTATTATGTACACAGTGTTCTGTCTGATATATGCCTGCAGGCCAGAAGAGGGCACCAGATCTCATTATGGATGGTTGTGAGCCACCATGTTGTTGCTGGGAATTGAACTCAGGAAAAAATAATTTTAAAAGCAGAGCTAGGAATGTAGCTAGCTCATTGGCAGAATGTGTAGCCAGCATGCATGAAACCTCCAGTTTAATCCATAACACAAACAAACCAATAGTTATTTGTTAGGGTTTTGGTTTAGATTTTCTGAGACAGAGTCTCACTAGGTAGCCCAGGCTGACCTCAAATTTCTGCCTCTACCTCCCAAGTTCTGGAATTATAAAGACGCATTACCACAGTTGCCTGGCAAAGTAAGTCTTACTAAATGAAAGATTCTAACACTCCCTGTTCTCTTGCTCATCTTAACAAATGGATTTAGACTTCAGCATTCATGTGAAGAGTCATTTCCAAAATTCAAAAGCTTTTTATTGGCACAATTATCTTCAAACCTCCCTTTATCTAAAGCTCTTTATGGCCAAATGCAGTTTCACCTTATTTCTCAGATATCATTCACATCGAATCTATAACCATTAATAGTTTCAAACAAGAAAGAACTAAAATGTAAATGCAGCTGGTTGCTTTCCAGTCGCGCGCTCAGAAGCAGACATGTCAGTATTTGGGGCTTACCGAACACTAGCATAGTTTAAAGGGAAACTACAACAGAAACTAAACCATACATTATCCAGAGCCTGTCTACATCGGAGAAATAGCCTCGGCTTGGACAGTCCTAGGAAATTTCTTCTTTCCTTTTACATTTCATTCAGGCTAATTTTCCTCTCCACCACTACATCTACTCTGATCACAAAGCAAAAAAGTCACAGGAAAGTCAACAGCTTCAGGGAAAGCTTAGGAGGACAAAAGTTAAACCTGGCTGTTGAAGGATTCTTTACAATACAGTAGCCACATAAAGGATCACTGAAAGGCACAAAGAGAACACTCTGAATAATGTATTTTCTTCTAGCACCATTATTGCCTCTACATACACAAAATCCAAACAGGTTGGGCCATCCATATTATGTATAGTCCTGTACGTTTTAATGACACAGCAACTCATTCTCACCAATTACTGGCAAATACTGAGGCTATACAATGACTTAAGATAAGGTTGTAGGAAAACCAGACTGTTCTAGTAGGGGAGAGGATGGGAGAAGCCAAAATCTTGTTTAAAAGGACAACAAATACATCTAGAAACAAGATTTGTTTCATAAACAATGTTTTCATTCATTTTGGTAAATTTAAAAAACTTACCCTGAAGAGATTTTCCCAATCCCTGGCCCAGCTTCCACCCATGTTTCTGGAGTAAGCGGTGTCCAATATTATCCTGACAGACAGAACAGAGAGACAAACCAAAAATATTCCAATAATATATTCTTCCCTTCCTAGTGGCATTAAAATAGGTGATGACGAGATAATTCTACATATATGCATGCAAAAAGGTGCTAATAAAAGGGTAAATGTGCCCAGTAAAAGGGACATTAATGTAAAAAGAAATGCTGGCTAGTATTTTATATGGGAAGAACATATGGGAAAGGGTCCTTTCTGATAGTGTGCTGGGCAACTTCTGTACATAACACTTTAAAACGACAAAGGGGGGAAGGAAAAAGGGGGAGAATCCACTTATGAAGTTTTAAAACTAACATTAAAAAGCATAAAATCAAGGTATTTATACGATCATATCCACCACCTAGACAGCACCACTTTAAGAATTTTTTTTTAAGAAAAGAAAATCTGCATTGTGTTTAGTTATTTTGTTTATGTGTCAGGCTTTCATGATATAAAGTAAGTTGTAAGTGTAAGGCTACCCCCAGCACGAGAAATGGAGACAACCACCAAATCCAGGCTATGCTTGATTGGCTTTTATATATATAACATATAAATATAACCAGCATGCAGCCAATATTAAACTGAAAACATTGAGGTTAGTAAAACAAGAAGTTAAATTGAGTAAACAAAAAATAAAATGAGCTCAAGCACAGACTGAGTGATGCATTTCAACGTGTAGTCTAACAAAAATGCTAAGATGTTAGAATGAAACAGGCCTAGCAATAAGTCAACAGTAAAGAACCATTAGTGCATGTGGGGTCAACATACATAATGTCTCATCTGGAAACAGTATTTCAATGAAAATCATATGAAAGATACTAGAAACAACAATTAAATGTCAGCTACTGTATGAAATCAAGAAATCAGAACTTTCAGAGCCCTCTGTTTAATTCTCTACTTTTAAAAACTGTTGTGGAAGCAACAAGACTAAAGAACTACTGAACACCACGGGAGAAAATGCTACTAATCCAGAAAAAAGCTAAAGGCTAGGCTGTAGCTCAGAAGAAGAGCAGTTGCCTAAAACACACCAGGCTAAAATCCCCAGCACCACACACACATTAAAATAAACCAAAAAAAATCTTCAATATATAGTTCAAGTAATTTATAAACGTAATCTAATTCTATCATCTGAAATAAATTTTATTATACCTGAAATCAATTTAAAAAGCCTTGTAAATTATCTACTTGCTTCTTCCTTTTCTTTTTTTTGGGGGGAGGGGGGTTCAAGACGGTTTCTCTGTGGCTTTGGAGACTGTCCTGGAACTAGCTCTGTAGACCTGGCTGGCCCTCGAACTCACAGAGATCCGCCTGCCTCTGCCTCCCGAGTGCTGGGATTAAAGGTGTGCGCCACCACTGCCCGGCTCTTTCTTTCTTTTTTTGTTTTCATTTTGTTTTCAGTTTTTGGAGACAGAGTTTCTCTGTGTAGCCCTGGCTGTCCTGGAACTCACTCTGTAGATCAGGCTGAACTCAAACTCAGAGATCCGCCTGCCTCTGCCTCTTGAGTGCTGGAATTAAAGGTGTGTGCCACCACCGCATGGAGTCTTTTTATTTTTCTTAAAAGAATTTCTGTAGCACAATTAATAGAAACCCAGAGATCAATTTTGGGTTTCAACCTGGAAGTCAAAAAAATAAAACAGCTAGCCACTGACTCTTACCTCTACCTCAGTCTGAAATGGTGATCCTGCCTCCAAAATCTCAGAAGGAGACTGAGACTGAGTCTGAGAGCTGCCACCTCCCATTTTATATTCCCCATAGTGCTGGGATTAACAATGTACACCACTACCACCCTGTCTCTATGGAAAATAGTATAGCTACTGGGAATAAAGTGTGTGTCACCACTGCTTGGTCTATAAGGCTGATCAGTGGGGCTGTTATACTCTCTGAACTTCAGGCAAGGTTTATTTATTAAAATACAAATGAAATATCACTACGAATTTCCTTCTACAAATTTAGGACAACATGCAGCTGAGCTGAGTGATGGCTATTTTACCAGTGGAGGTGAGAAACCAGACTTTGATTTCCCAGGAAGGATCTCATTATCTTAGGCTGGTCATAGACTTGCTATATACCCTTAAACATCTGATTCTCCTGTATCTAGCTAGGCAGGGCTGAGATTACAGGTATGCATCGCCATACCTGGTTTATATAGTGCTGGAAAGACAGCCTAAAGCTTCATGCACACTAGGCAAATACTCTACCAACTGAATTATTGGTAGCCCTCAAGATACTTCTTTTGTGATTTTCCTTTTTCTAGATAGGTCTCACTATGCAGCCTACCAGGCTAGCCTGGAACTTGTGATATTCCTGCCTCAGCCTTCCAAGTGCACCCACCATGCCTGGAGTACTTAATTTTATGGGGCTCCAAGGTGTTTTGAAAAAAACAAAAGGTGGAAGCAAACAATACAAAGCTGTTTTTAAAACAAAAGAAACTATTGCGATATGTGGTATATTCACACACACATATAAAATATGGTATATTAAAAGGCCACTAGGAATTATTTTTGCTAAAAATAGAATTAGGAAACAAGTCTGTATGCAACCCCAAGTGATCATGTTCACATTATTAAATATCACAAAAACTTAATTGAACACTGTTTCTGTTTCTCTTCTCTCCTACACTACTAAGAAAAGCATCATCTTGCCCAACTACTTATAAATAACTTCATTATTTTTTAAAGTTAAAAAAAAAGGCAAATGGCAAATCATATTGAATCACATCTTTAATCCTAGAACTAGGGAGGTAGAGTCAGACTGCAAGTAGATCAGAAATTCAAGGTCATCCTTAGCTATCTAACAAATTTAAAACCAACCTGGGCTACAATAAAAAAGGCCTAGGGATCTAGTTTAGCTGCAAAATATTTGCCTAGCAGTGTGAGGCCCAGGTTTGAGCCATATCACCTCAAAACTTTTTTAATTAAAACAAAAATATATGAAAGCTAAGATTAGCAAAAAACAAAAACAAGAACAACTCTTATTTTTCTACTACCAAAAAAATATATATATCTATTGTGTACCTCTAGAAATGACAAGGATAACAAAATGACTCTTAGATCATGTAGTGGAGCTTGACATGGTGGCACACTCCTCATAATCCTAGCAACAATAAGGCTAAGAAAGGAGGATCACCTTCAGTTCAGTGACAGTTAGGACTAAACTGTGAGATCTTACCAAAAAAAAAAAAAAAAAAAAAAAACCCAAAAAACCTAGTAACTAAACCATTTCAGTTTATCACTGTTTATTCCCTTGCTATCCTAATGCTGTAACTGTATTTGTTTGGCACAAAGATTTATGTATTAAAAATGCTGACAAAAATTGTTGTCCCTCCCCCATTCACTGTGATCTGTGGTTTTTGTTTTGTTTTGAATTCAGTCTTTGGCCCATGAGATGAGACATTATGCTGACGTGTTATATTATGAACGCACTAAAATAAACAGACAGATGAAGCAGTATGCTATTTCCAAAAGCAGTGCAAGTGGAGTGAAAGCATTTCCATACGAACCTGGCTTTAAAAACTGGGCTGTCAAAAGAACAGTTAAATGTAACACAAAGTAAGAAACTGTCCGATCACTAATGGTCGCTTTATTTTTATTTTTTTGTCTTGTTTTCAATTCACTGCTTGCAAGTAATGTATTTATTAAAGAAGACTGAAAGCATAAGTAAACCACGAGTCAAGACCAGCTGAGAGATTCAAGAGCAGCGTGTTGTGACTGACAACAGTGAAAGGAAAAGCAAATGTTAAAGGGAGAAAAAGAAAAGTTTAGGGTCATACACATTAGCACTTTTACAACGCCACTCAAGAGGCCGGCTGTCACCTCTGAGGAAAGCTGCTGACAGGGAATGGCAGTGGTGTCACTCTTCTGAAGCCTAATGTTAAACGGTTCTAACTTCTCAACTTTTCTGAGCAGGAGCAGAGAACGGAATGTTTGAGGCTATAAACTATTGAATATGCCACTGAAGTCTTCTGACTAAAATAGACAACAAAACTGTAGACGCATCTCCCACCAGCCTCAAGTAAATGAGTAACTCATAAAGGGAACCTGGGCCTCTCCTATCACTTCAGACTACCTGTTTTTGGAAGAAAAGCTGCTGTGTGGCTCTCCACGGAATTATTCAGTATGATCTCCTACCAAAAAGAAAAATAAACAAGCGGTGGTAGCTGTGGTCAAGACATAATGTATACCTATAAGAAATTGTCAAAGAATAAGTTTTTTAATATTTGTGTGTGTGTGTGTGTGTTTATCTGCAGGTTCCTGAGGTCAGAGTGTCAGACACCAGGGAGTTGAAGTTAACAGGCAGCTATGAGCTTCCCTGATATGGGTGCTGAGAATCAACTTGAGTCCTCTGCAAGAACAATACTCACTCTTAACCACTTGGGTCATTTTTCCAGCCTGAAGAATAAATTTAAAAAGAAAAGAAAGAAGAGAAACAAGGGCAGGAGTGGTAGCACACACACACTTATTCTCAGCACTCAGGATCAGAAGCACCCAGATCTCTTCAGTTCAAGTACAGCCTGGTCTACAGGACACGCCCTGTTCCAAAGACAGTCAAGGCTACCTAAGGAGACCCTGTCTCAATAAAACAAAATAAAGTGATAATAACAGAACTAGCTCAAGGATAGTCAAGGCAACACAGAGAAACCCTATCTTGAACCTCTCCACCCCCAAAAAGTAAGAGAAAGCCAGGCATGGTGGCTTACCCCTTAAATTCCAGAACTTGAGAGACAGAGACAGATGGATCTCTGAGTTTAAGGCCAGTCTGATCTACACACAGTGAGTACAGACAGTCAGAGCTACATAATAGCGAGATCTGTCTCAAAAAGAAAAAAAAAAGGTATAATATCATGTGCCTATAATCCCACTCAGAGGGAGAAAACTAGAGATCCAAAGACATCCTATTGAACCTGAAGTCAACAAGAAATGATCTCAACAAACTAGCCACGTGTGGTAGTTCATGCCAAAAATCCTAGAACTTGGGAGGTTAAAGCAATATCTCCACGAG